GGGGGAGGGGGAGGGGGCGGAATGGGTGGTAAGGGAGGGGGTGGGGGCAGGGGGGAGAAATGAACCAAGCCTTGTATGTACATATGAATAATAAAAGAAAAAGGAACAACAAAGAAAAAGATCTTTGGTTCACTTTGAGTTGATTTTGGTACAGGGGGAAAGACAAGATTTAGTTTGTCTTATACATGTGGATATCTAGTTTTCCCAGCAGCATTTGTTGAAGAGGATTGTCTTTTCTCCACTGTGTGTTTTGCATTCCTTTGTCAAAGATCAGTTGGCTATAAGATGTGTGGATTTATGTCTGGATCTTCTATTCAGATCCATTGGTCATGCTGTCTGTTTTTATGCAAATACTATGCTGTTTTTATGGTTATGGCTCTGAAGTATAGTTTGAAGTCAGGTATTGTGATGCCTCCAGCATTGGACTTTTTGCTCAGAATTGCTTTGGGTATTTGAGGCCTTTTGTTTTCCATATATATTTCACAACTGAATTTTTCTATTTCTGTGTAGAATGTCATTGGAATTTTGATAGGGATTGCATTGAACATGTAGATTGCTTTTGGTATTATGGCCATTTTCACAATGTTGATTCTACTGATCCAGGAGCATGGGAAGTCTTTCCATCTTCTGATGTCTTCTTTGATTTCTCTCTTCAGTAGTTTATAGTTTGATGTAGGTGCTAATAGATATAAACTTTCCTCTTAGCATTGTCTTTGCCATATCCCTAAGGTTCTGGTAAGTTGTATTTTCATTTGCATTGGAATTTTGTCCCCCTCCCCTTCTTTTTCAATGACACACTGGTTATGTAAGAATGTATTATTTAGTCTCCATGTTTGAATATTTTCTACAGTTTCTTTTGCAGCCAATTTCTACCTTTATTTCATTGTGATCTGATAAAATACAGAGTGTTACTTTAGTTTGCTTATATTTGTTAAGACTTGTTTTATGTCCTAAAAAATGACCCATTTTGGAGAAAGCTTCATGGGCTGCTGAAAATGTACATTGTATAACTGGTGGATGAAATGTTTTTTAAATGTGTGTTAAGTCCATTTGGTCTATAGTATCACTTAATTCTGAAGTTTCTATATTGATTTTTTTGGTCTGAATGACATATCTATTTGTGAGAGTAGGGATAGTGAATCTCCCACTATTATTGTGTTGGAATCTATCTGTGCTTTTTAAGTCAAGTAGTGTGTGTTTAGTGAAATCGAATGTGCCAGTGTCCAGTGCATATATGTTATCTTTTCTTGACTGACTGTTTCTTTTGTTAATATGAATTGACCTTCTTTGTCTCTTCTGACTAATTCTGCCTTGGAGTCTGTTTTATCACATATGAGTATAGCTACTCCTATCTGCTTTTGGTATCTATTTGCTTGGAAAATCTCTTCTATCATTTCATCCTAAGCCAGTGTATGTTTTTGTCAGTAAGATGCATTTTGTATAGACAACAAATGGCCAGGGCTTGTTTTTAATCAATCCCACAATTTTATACCTTCTGATTGGAGAATTGAGACCATTAACATTTAGTGTTATCATTGGAAGTTATGTAGTATTTCCTGTCAATTTTCTGTTGTGATGTTTGCTTCCTTCCAAATCCTTATTTACAAATCTATTCATAAACTGTTCTTTATTCTTTCCTATAATTTCCTGTTTTCACTTACCTTCCTCTTCTGTGTTTAAGATTCCTTTAATTATCTTCTGCAGTGCAGGTTTAGTGGGCATGGATTCCTTTAGTTTTTGTTTATTGTGGGAGGTTTTTATTCTCCTTTAATTATAAAAGGTAGCCTTACTGGATACAGTAATCTCAGTTGACAGTTATTTTCTTTCAGGGCTTGGTATCTATCATTCCATGACCTCCCTTCACTTGATGAGTTCCCTCTTTATGTATCTTGTTTCTCTTTTGCAGCTTTCAATATTCCTTCTTTGTTCTGTATATTTAGTATTTAACTGTAATATGTGTACATGTATTTATTTTCTCATTTTGCCTATTTGGTTTTCTGAAAGCCTCATATAATTGGGATTACTTTCTGTTTCTCAAGATTGGGGAGGTTTTCCACCATTATTTTATTGGATACATTTTCTGTGCCTTTAGCTTGTATCTCTTTTCCTTCTTCTACACACGATTTGTAGGTTTGATCTTTTGATGGTGTCCCAGAAGTATTGCATGTTGTCTTTTCTTAGTATTTTTTGTCTTTGTCTGATTGATCTAATTTCTCTACTTTATCTCTCTATCTATAGACATATATATATATATACATATATATATATGTATATATATATATATATTCAACTTGTTCCATTCTATTAGCAAGACTTTCAACTGAGTTTTTAATTTAGGTTATTGAGCTTTTCATTTACAGGATTTTAATTTGATTTTTTTTTCAGGATCTCTCTACCTTCAGTGAATTCTTCTTTCATATCCTGCATTGTCTTTCTTAATTCATTCGGTTGTATATTTGGATTCTCTTTGAGTTTATTTAGCTGTTTATTAATATCCTACACACATTTAGGTGTTTATACATGTCCTTTTTAATTTTGTTGATCATCTTATCATTGTTTGCTTGAGTTTATTGTTTCAAATTTCACCCACTTCAGTATCTTTCAAGTTCTTTATTATAGAATTGTTGACTTTTGAAGGAGAAATGTTACCTTGTTTTTCCATATCAGAAATATGTTTCTATGTTGGGATTTATGCATACAGACCAAGATTTTTATTAGAGGTTTTAATCCTCTTTTTTCTTGCAGATGGAGTTTCACAAGACTTGGTAATTGGCTGGGTTGTGGTATAGAAGCAACCACATTTGATAGACACCCACCAGAAAATAGCCATCCCTAATAAAGAACAATCACTGCCTCTGCTTCATTATCTTTAGAGGTATCAAGGAGAAAAGATGATACTTTGTGAACAAGGAAGATATCAGTTAATAAGAGTGGAAATGGGAAGGATAGTGGGGGGATAATGAACAGTAGAAGATGTGTGCCGAAAGGAGAAGTGGCTGACATTAACTTACGGGGATATTGAGAAAGCAGAATGAGATAGAAAAAATCTTGCTGAAGTTGTATTGTGAAGGACAGGAGAAAGAGAAAAGAAGAAAAACAAACAAAATTGATACGGCAATCTAACCACCACTACAAGTACAGGGAAAAAGAAGGATTGTAGTCACTGCAGAGAGTGGAGAAAACTACTGCAACTGTAGATGGAAAACAAACTGGGGAGGGAGACAAGAGTGGGATGGAGAATATTTAAAGATTCAATATTTAAAGTTGGTTGGTGTGGCTCTCAGATGATTGCCAAAAAAAAAAAAAAAAAAAAGGAAGAAAAATCAGAACTAAAAAGAAACCAAGAAAAGACTATCAAAAACACCCAAATCAAACATACAAAAATAAATTAAGACAGTGCAAAAGGCCAGTATTTTCTTGGTTGCTTTTTTGGTTTTTTTTCCCTAAAGTCAAATTGGTTAGTCCAGTAGCAGTAGTCTGGTCAGAGGCTTAGCTAGTCCCCACTCATTTCCCACTTAAGATGTGGTGTCTTCTGTCTCCCAGACCCCTGCCAATTCAGTCTCTTGGTCTCTAGACAGTACCCGTTGGTTCCTGGGTCAAATACTGCTGTATTGTGCTCTGCTGAGATATTCTAGATGGAGTTGTGACTAGTATCTGCATTCTGCTAGTCCTCATGACCCTATCTTTTGTATCATAGGGGTTTCTGTGAAGCATTTGGTATGCTCTCCTTGGTTTCCATCATACGCTGGCCTGCTGCATCAGAGCTCATAAACCTGCAACTTCAGTCGCCTAGCTCTCTCCCTTGTGCTTTCAGTCTGTGAGGAGTCATCCACAGATCTGTGCCTGCCCATGCCTGCCAGCAAGCTCATGGGTTGTTGATGGAATCAAATCTGTGCCAGCAGCATTGAGTTCCTTAGCAGTTCTACAGGGAGGTTGGTGTGAGAATAGTTGTTCAATAAGGATGAGAGATGCTGGGTGATACCACTCTGCCACCATCTTGCTTGCCATCCACTGAGAATTTTTTCAGTTTGTCTTTTACAATAGCAATTAGCATGCTCTTTCAGAATGATCTTATGTTTTGGTGGTACTAGGATTTGAACTTGAGACCTCATGTCTGCTGTCATTTGAGTCATGCACCCAGTCCTTTTTTTGCTTTAGTTATTTTTTGGAGAGGGTCTTCATTTTTGCCCAGAGCCAGCCTCAGACTGCAGCCCTCCTACCTATACTTCCTCATAGCAGGAATTACAGGTGGGTTCCACCTTGCCTAGCTTGTTTGTTAAGATGGAATCTTGCTAATTTTTGCCCTGAACCATATTCCTCCCAATCTCTGCCTCCCAAAATAGCTGGGATTACAGGCATGTGCAACCACACTGAGCCCTAATTTAAAAAGTTATTTTAAGTTTTTTTCAGTACTGGGGTTTAAAATCAGGAACTTGTGCTTGCTTGACAAATACTCTAGCGTTTAAGCCACATCACAAGCTCTTTTCCTTCAGTTATTTTTCAAATAGTCTCTCATGTTTTTACCCAGGGTCAGCTATGGACCATGATCCTCCTATCTACATTTCCTTCATAGTTGGGATTACAGGCATGTGATACCACGCCTGGTTTATTTATGGAAGTTGGCTAACTCTTTGCCTGGGCTGGCTTTGAAACATGGTCTCTGCCTCCCTAGTAGCCTGGACTCCCTAGTAGCTTGGATTACTGGCATGTGTCACTACATCTGACCTTCTATTTTCACTTTTGTGACTACTGCAAAACAGTGAACTATTTGAGGGCTGAGACAATGTCTTATGCATATTTATATCTCCAGTACCTTCTGTATAAAAAGCAAACTTACCTCTTTTACCAACATTTCCATAATGAGGTCTCTACATTATATTCCCTGGCATAAGTCATGTAGTTTCAAATTATTTGACAACTTTAATTTTAGGACACAGTGGAGAAAGAATTTATATAGGCAATCAAAGAACAATGACTCTTGATAAAATCTCAGCTGACACTCACCAGTAGTAAGCAGCAGGGAACAAAGAAGCAGATGAGGTCCCATAACAAAGCAGAGAGCCAGTATGTAAGCACATAGACTCCACTCAGAAACTGGATGTGCTTCGCTTTGCTGATTCTTTCAGTCACTGTCAGGAGACAAAAGCTACCGACTACAACAGAAATGCCAAAAGCCAAACATTGTACTATTTGCAGTCCATTTATAGGCCTACAGAGATGAAATAAAAGATAAAAGATGAAATACAGATATACAGTGCTGATTTCAGCAGCTATTTTCAAATGTATATGGCCAAATAGCAGGGAAATAGCTTAAAACTCAATTTCAGTATACATATACTGGACTGGAACCATACACGAAGCGAGGCAGAGGCTTGTTGGAGGCTGTAATGGAAGCAGTGGGGCCAGAGAGTGACATAAAAAGAATGTTGTCTAACACCGCCAGTGATGTTGCAGCTGAGTGGTACACCTCATTATTGAACAAAATAGTAAACACTGTTTTGTTTTTCTTGACCTCAATGGAAAGTGCAATAATGCAGAACTCACGACACTCTTTACTTTCAAGTATGTAATTAATTACATTACCTAGAATAAGAAAGAAATTCATCAATGAGTCAACATATAATACAACTTCTAGTACTTATATTGGAGAGGAAGGATCAAAAAAAATTTTTTTTGCTGTTTTATCATTTCTCTTTTCAACCTCCACCAATGGCTATTTTAAACCTTTACCTTTCTTGTCAGGAATTCTATCCCACCACTAATTCTTACAATAAATCTCACTATTTAAGGTACAAACTGAGAAAATATTAAGTATTTTTCTTGTCTAAAGTAAACATGGTTCTTTTAAAATTGTTTTGGCTAGTTTAGTTCATTTGTATTTCTATACAATTTTTGGGATCAGCCTGTCAGTTTCTGCAAAAATGCCTGCTGGAATTTTATCAGGATTACATTGAATATGTATTTGGGAAGAACTGCTACTCTAGTAAGTCAGTAGTCCTAATACATGACATGGAATGTCTTCCACTTACATATAATTAATTTAATTTCCCTTGGAAACATTTTGTAATTTTCAATGATACAAATCTTTTCCTTCTTTAATTAAATTTACCCCTAAGTACTTTATTCTTTTTGATACCATTTTGAGTTTTGGAATGTGTTTTCTTCCCCATATATGCCCATTACATATAAGTAGGATTTTTTAAAAAGAAATCAAGTGTGAAAACTTCTGCATTTTGATTAAGAGATGTCCACTCCATTTATGTTTAATGTAATTATTGAGATGGTGGGATTTATATATTCCATTTTACTATTTATTTTCCATATGTCTTAACTCCTTTTTTGTTTCTCTGGTTTTCAACTACTGCCTTTTATGAGGTAAATATAACTGTGCTATTAAAGTTTGTGGTTGTTTCTTGATTTATTTAATATTTTTTATTTTTTGATAGTACTGGTGTTTGAACACGTGGCTTGCTAGACAAGCTCTCTACTACTTGAACCATAACTCCAGCCTTTGTTGCTTTAGCTATTTTTCTTATAGAGTTTCATGCTTTTGCCCTGAGCTGGCCTCAGACCACAATCTTCCTACCTCTGCCTCCCATGTAGCTAGGATTACAAGTGTGTGCCACTATGCTCAGTTTGTTTGCTGAGATAGGGTCTACTAACTTTTTTTACCCAGGCTGGCTTCAAACTATTATCCTTCTATTTCCATCTCCCAAGCTGGAATTATAGGTGAGAGCTGTCATGCCTGGCTATTTTAAATTATTTTCTCAGTGGTTCTTCTGGTATTTACAATATAAATCCTAATTTAAAACAATATACAGCCATCCTTACTCTTATGTTTACCTCTGTAATAATCTTTGCCAGTGTGATTCTAATTCTTTATACAGATCAGACTTATTGTCCAGTGATCTATGAGCTAGAGCTCTTTTTACTTTAGTTTTCAGATAGGGTCTCACACTTTTGCCCAAGGTCAGCCTTGGACCATGATCCTACTACCTACAGCTTCTTGGGTAGATGGGATTACAGATGTGAGCCACTGTACCTGACCTTTCCTTTTACATTTTACTATAGACAGCAAAGAGGAACTAGGACATGACTTGAACCCTTTGCTTAGAAATCTCCTCAGCTAAATATCCAACTTCATCACTTACAATAAGTTCCATAAAACAGAATACAATTTGGTTAAGTTCTTTGATTCTTTATAACAAGGATCAACTTTCCTCCAATTCTCAATAATGAGTTCCTCATTTCCATCTGAAATTTTACCATGTCATCCTTTGTGCTTTTACTTCTGCCAGTATTATGTTCATGATAATATACTTCGAAGATAAAAGTTTTCTTTAAAGATTTCTTAGTTTCTGGATTAGTACTCACCAGAATCATCTTTAATATTTGTATTTCTGCCAACAGTCTCTTCAAGACTATCTAGATTGCATCTAACATTTACCTCAAAACTCTCCGAGCCTCCCTCCATTACCTAGTTCCAAAATCATTATCATATTTTTTTGGTATTTGTTATAGCAGCACCCACTTCCTGTTACCAAAATCTTGTCTTTGTTTTCTAAGGCTGCCACAAGATTGGATGGCTTAAGCAACAGAAGGTTATTTACTCATAGACTAGAAGCTAGAAGTCTGAGGTAAAGTGACAGTTGGGTTGGTTTCTTCTGAGGCCTCTCCTTGGCTTTTCTGTGGCTGTCTTCTCTGTGTGTCTTCACATGGTCTTCCCTCTGTGTATTAATGTCTATGTCTAATTTCTTCTTTTTATAAGAACAACAGATACATTAGATTAGGGCCTACCTTAATGACTTCATTTTAAATTAAATTACATTTGCAAAACCTTATTTCCAATACAATCACATTCTGAGATATTAAGAGTTAGGACTTCAATGTGTGTATGTGTGTGTACAATTCAGTCATTAACTCTTCCTGCTCTTTTTGTTGTTGTTGAAAAGTGGATGTTTCTGATAAATATTGTAGTGATTCTAAAATATTAACTACTCTGCCCTGTATGACTGTTGTTATTGTTCTATTAAAAATGCTGTTCCTCATTTGTTTAGTAACTTAAGTGGATCAATTCTATAGTCTCCCCAGTGAACAGCTACTGATTTCTCTGAAAGACTTAAAATCTGGATTTTATTTTTATACCTGGCTCCGAGAACTCAACTCTTCATCCGTATAATTTAGTAATCACCAAAAGAATTTCCTGAATGCCCTGAGTCAGTAAGTGTTCCACCATTTGCCAAGTTAACCTGTATATGAAGGCATATCTTCAAATTTCAGGAACTTTACAAGTCAGTTTCAACTTCTACTTCCTCTTATACAAGTCTTCCACATCAACCAGAGGTGAGTGACTGAGTATACAACTTCCGTAGGTCATTTTTGGTGATGCACACCACCATTCTACCTTATATACCCTCTGCAACAACAGATCTTTTCAAAGTTCACTGTAGTTATCTAGTTCTCTAGGTATGCTTTTTAAATTTTGGCCAGGCTTTTATTTGGCCAAATGAAACCACAGCTTCAGCTAGCTGTAATCATTTTGCTGTCAGATTGCTGTTGATTTTAGTAATACCCTGGGAGAGGTGTTTTTATTTTATTTTTTCCAAATCCAGTAGTAACAATGCTGTAGGAATGGAGTTTTCCAGGAATTGGTAGTTGATAGTGCTCTAGGGATGGGGCTTTTAACAGAGCTCCAAAAGGTCTGTTCTTTCTGCTAATTGCAAGGCTACTGGTTTTTCATGATTATCATACCACTGAGCCAGGGAAGGAGGGTGATAGTGTAACAGGTACTTAGAAATTGCTTTTGCTGAAGAGCACTGACTCCTCCTTACTCTTGTTCATGAACTAACTAAAAGAAGAAGAAAAGTTTGGCATCTTTGTTTCTATTTCTATCTTTGAGTCATTCACCTTGCAGCCACCACGGAGTTGAGGAAGGACAGCACTAATCAATAACATCTTTGTAATAAGGGATAGAAAGATAGAGGAAACTGCCTTCAAGAATAGGAACAGCAGAGCCTTTGCTGGAAAGACCACCTGCCAGGTACCAATGATTTACTTGTCTTGGACAGATTACTCCCACCAAGTGATGACAGTGATAACTTTTCTGGAACCCCTGGATAATGATTCACCATGCCATACTTTGACCAGGGCTCTTTAAATAATTTTGCCTCCCTTTTGCTCATGCACCAAATTTGTTCTCTATTGAAACCTAAGGCTCATGTTTGTACCCCAAAGCTGGGTTGAAGTTCTTACTTTGCCTCTTCTGGCAGCATGCCTGTGCCATGTAATAAACCTTCTTTTTCTGCCCTTCACCATTACTTGTCTCATTTGGTGTATTGGGGTGAGTGGAACCCCTGGAGTTTGGGCATGGAGGCTACAACTCTGGTTTCAGTAGGAGTGGTTCTAAATTAGAATGCTAAATTTTCCTTGAACAGACACATTCTTGTTTTTTTGTTTCTGGTTAATTTCCAGTGCTCTAAAATTTTTGATATAAAAATATTTTTTATAAGTATTTTTGTTGCTTTCATGGGAAAATGGGTGAATTTCCACCTTAACAAAAGTTCAAATCCTCTGGCCATTAGGTGTTGGGATCATTATGCAAAGAGATAACAAGCTGGTTTTTTTTTCTTTGTGAACTGGGGTTTGAACTTAGCACTTCATGCTTGAAAAGCAGGCACTCCACTATTCAAGATACATCTCCAGTCCATTTTGCTCTAGTTGTTTTGGAGATGGGGTCTTGTGAACTATTTGCTTGGGCTGACCTTGAACCACAGTCCTCCATATCTTAGCTTCCCAAGTAGCTAGGATTATAGACATGAGCCACCAGTGCCTGGCAAAAGGGCTTTTTTTTTTTTTTTTTAGCATTAACAAAGATAAGGCAGAGAACGTATTTGGTATGTTTCTTACTGAAGACAAATATTGATCAAATTAAGTACAGTTATCTACAGTACCTTCAAAAACTTAATTCTGAAGAGTCAATCTTAGTAACTCTTCAGCTACTTGTTTTAGAATGGTCAATATAATAAAGGATGGCTTTTAGAAACTGGAACCAACATCTGTGAGTGCTCAGAGAGACCTAACTGTATTCTGGTCAGAATGAAAGTTCTAATGCTGAATTGCACAAAAATACATTATTTTCATCTTTTTCCCTTCCCTCTGAAAGATGATAAAATTAGCTGAAAGACCACCTACAGCAAATTAATGATTAACTTTTGTGGCCATTTGTCTTGAACTGTAGATTTTTGCATCTGATTTAGCTTTCTCTCTGATACTGGGAATTAATAGGAAAAGAAAGAAATGAGCAGCTAAATAGCATAGTATTTTCTTTGCAAGTTGCAAAAATAAATCTTCATATAGTTACAGTCTCCTTTTTTCCTATGGGTCTTACCTTTCACTTCCCGTAGTTCTTGATTCCTAGGCTTTAGGAAAACCTCAAGGTTCTTTATGAGATTCAAAACCAAATCAGAATTCCCTGAAATTGAGTAAGGCACAATGGTTCGACCATAGTGACGCAAATCCATTTCCCTTACGGGCACATCACCATCGAAATTCTGAGCTATTAAGAGATAGGTAGTGACAACTACAATTACTATTATCTGTAGCAACATCAACTTCCAGTGGCGCCAGCTGAATAGTGCCCTTTTTATAAACATAGAACAAAATTGCTGGAGGTAAAGTGGAAACTAAAAGAGGAGAGAAAAATAGTATTACAATGTTTACTGATCCAAGAGGATATTCATGCTGCAATTATTAAATGCTTCAAAATTTTATGGCAGAATATATATATGCATAAAATACAACACAAATGCATGTTTTGATATGACCCTAATAAAACAACAAGATGGCTAATAATTACATAAGGTATTAATGAAAGGATTAAGATCTGGCTTCTACATATTCTAAAATCTTAAGATGACTTTCTTAACATGCTATAGTATTTCTGATAAGAAAATCAAAATTGTTAACCTTTCATTTTGGTTAATATTAAACCATAATTTTTCTATTTTCTTCATTTGAAAACATACCATAAAACTATAATATTTCAACTAATTTTAATACACATACTGTAGTACCTAGAAAATGTCCTTAATTTGATAAACATATATCTTATGAATACAATTATCATATCTCTTTGGTCTTGTCAGAACTGAACAAAAGTAGACCTATAATGAGAACTTTTCAAAGGGATACTGACAAATAATAATGGTGAGAGTAGCAGCTGTGATCTTTATCAAGAACTGATTTCTCCTACATCAAAAAATTAGTGCAGTTGTAGTGTGGCAGGAAGGTAGGGTGGGGGAAGGGAGATAAAGAGAGACAATGAGGAAGATAATGAGAAATAATGGATGCAACAATAAAACAAACAAAAACAGATTTGAGGAATGTGAGACCAGATAAGGGTCACCTCGCCCCAGAGGTTAAATTAGCCAATGAAATAGTATGTAACCATGTATGGGACAAGCTGTATCCCCCATTTCTGTAACCCACTCTAAATGGTATATAAGGAAAGCCCCCTTTGTTCTCAGGGCTCAGCCTTGGATGTGATTCGCTGCTGGCCTGCTTAATAAACTTGCTTCCCAAAAGCTTTGGTGCCCTATCTCTCTGTCTGAGACTTCCTACACTTCTGGGGGCTCAGTCTGGGATTTGGAGGGCAGTGTTTTAACCTCCTTGTTGCCAGCTCAGTGTCCCCAAACCACCAGAAGGGCCACCCTTGCCAGACGCCACTGGATGTGTTGATCTGAGGGGAGGGAGGCTCTCTCCCAGTGAACTGAGGAGGCAAGTTTTGGCCATGCAAAGGAATCCAGAAAGGTTTGGGAACCAACTTGAGAGCCCAGTTCATCAGACTGGTAAGAACCCAGGTTTGAATTTAGGCCTGCTTTAGGAGGCAGAAGGGTGAAACCATGTCTCTCAGGTTCAGGAGTGGGATGGAAGTACTGTACTGTGTGAGTGTGTTAAAGTGAGAGCCTGAGATGCAGCCCAGCTACGAAGCGAGTGCAGAGTCATATGGGAAACTCATATGGTCTACGGTGATCCCCAACAGGGTCTCCAGCCTCACTATGGCTAAGAGACGCCTAAATCCCCATGAGGGGAGCATCTGGAGATGGACAAAGTGAGTGGTATTATTTGTTTTCTCCTGTGTGCCAGAAAGGAGGACCCCTTACCTCCTCTCCACAACCTTCATATGACCCTTCCATTTCTGTCTGTCTGGACATATGGCAACAGGAGGAATGGGAGGAGGTCAGAGTAAGAACACCCTCCTGGGGTGCATACTTAAGAACTTTAAAAAGGGATTTAATGGAGATTATTTAGGACCTTCTGTGAAATAGACTGGCCTGCTTTTGGAGTAGGATGGCCCTTGGAAGGGTCATTAGATAATGTCATAGTCAATAGTTTTTGAAGTGGTTATAGGGGAGCTTGGACACTCAGATCAGTTTCTTTATATTGACTGCTGGCAACATGCAGTCTTCAGTTGGCTCACATGGCTAAAGCCCCACCTATAGGAAGCATGTACAGTCGTGGTAGCCAGGGTGGCAGCAGCTTCCAAGTTCAGGGAAAAATGTAAAAAGCCAGAGAAAACCACGTTAGCAGGGAAACCTGAGGATTCCATGCCCCCTTATCTGCTACTGTATCCACCTTTGCCACTGCCTTCCACCCCTTTACCTCTACCCTTGGAAGGAGAAGCAGCATCAGATGGGGGTACCCCAGAAGCAAATATGCCTACAAGGCCAGGCCGAGGAGTCTTTGAAACTGCAACAACCCCCACCTTCCTAAGGCCCCATGAATCTCCTGCTCACTCTGAGCCCACCAGTCCTCACTCTGCAGCTCCCTGTGAGACTGGCCCCTAAGTTCAACCAGGAACATTTGAACAGTCCCAATATGGATCTAGCCTCCCTCCCCGCTGAGACCCACCACCCTGCAGATGCCCCTGAGAGAGGTCCAGGGCCCAATATATTATGACTAGCATGGTCAGATACAAGGAAGAAGGCAGACATTTGTCTACCATCCTTTTACCACACAGACCTCCTAAATTGGAAGCACCATACCCCTCCTTCATAGAAAAGCCTCAGGCTCTGATTGACCTAATGCCGTCCATCATCCAAACTCATAAGCCCACCTGGACAATCTCCTGACAGCTTCTTCTGACTCTAATATAGAGGAGTGATGTCGTATAATCTTGGTGGCTCTAAAGTGGCTGGAAGATCATGCCCCTGTGGGTACTTTAAATGCCCAAGCCTATGCTCAGGGCCAGTTCCCCAAGGAGGACACCCATTGGGACCCTAATGATGACTGAGATTACCAGCGGCTTGAGCGGTATCAGGAGGCATATGAAGGATGGAAGAAAAAGGCCGTGAACGTGAGTAAGACAACAGATGAGAGCCCCAGCCAGTTTTATGAGCATCTATCTGAGGCCTTCCACTTGTACACCCCTTTTGAGCCAGAGGATGATTAATGCAGCATTTGTTAGCCAAGCACAGGGGCACATAAGGCAAAAATTACAAAAGCTTGAGGAGTCTGCTGGTATGAATGCCAGAGGCTTCTGGAGGTGGCCACAAAAGTCTTTGTCAATCAAGATCAGGAGGCCAGATGGGAGGCCAATAGAAAGATGAAAAGGAAGGTGGACCTCCTTGCTGCTGCTCTTGCTGAACAGTCAGATGGGCTCCAGCATTGAGGCCATGGCAGAAGAGGAGGCAATCCCCATGGATGGCAGTCAGTGCCCCCAGAATGGCCTCACCTTAGAGAGGAACTAAGGTGGGACCAGTATGCCTGTTGTCATCAGGAAGGACACTGGAAAAATGAATGTCTCCAACAGTTCAGGGACCCCCAGAGGGCCTCCCAGACCAGAGGTAGAGGCCAAGTTGTTGAAGGAAAGTATTGGCCTGCTCAGGGGAGAAGAAGCCCCTGGGAGTAAGACGTTGTTAGGCTGGCTACTTTTGAGGATTATGAGAACTAGGACAGACCAGGCTCCATTCTATTGGGCCCCCAGGAGCCTATGGTCCAAATGAAGATAGGGGGCCATCCTCTTGATCTACTGGTGGACATTGGTACAACCCACTCGGTTGTAACCCAACTCATGGGCCCTTTCTCACAGAGACATGTGACCATTGTTAGGCCATGGGAGGTCAGACTTGCTGCCCCTTCCTCATATCCAGAAAATGCCATCTTGGAAAGCATGAAGTAAGGCTGAGTTCCTCTACATTCCTGATTGCCCTGTGGCTTTGATAGGAAGAGATTATTGTGCAAACTAAGGGCACAGATAACTGTTGACTTAAGGCACAGCAGCCTTACAGCAAAGAGGGCCTGAAGCCAAGATTCTCTCACGGTTGCACAGGAGGAGGATTGCTGACTCTGTGCATCTAAGAAAGAGATTCCTGAGATGCCTGAGCTTCCCTTTAAGATTCCAGGAGTATGGGCTGAAGACAACACCCCTGGACTGGCTCAGAACATACCTCTGGTGGTGGTAGAATTAAAGCCAGGAGCCATTTCTGTTAGCCAGAGAAAAAAATACATTCCTCGCAAAGCCCAAATTGAGATCCAAACGCATCTCGATAGACTCCTAAAGTATGAGATCCTTCAGCCTTGTCAGTCTCCCTGGAATACTCCCTCACTGTCTGTCCAAAAACCAGGGACTAAAGACTAGGCCAGTTCAGAACCTCCGTGCAGTCAACTCAGCAACTGTTACTTTATACCTTGTGGTCCCAAACCTGTACATGATTTTGGGCCTTATCCCAAGTGAGGTAAAGTTCTTTACTTGCCTGGACCTTAAAGAGGCATTTTTTGCATCCGCCTGGCCCCACAGAGCCAACCCATCTTTGCCTTCCAATGGGAAAGTTCTAGTATTGGAGAGAAGGGACAATTGACTTGGACTTGGTTGCCACAAGGCTTCAAAAACCCTCCCACTATCTTTGGGACTGCCTTGGCATCTGACTTGAAGGCTTTCTTGGCCAACCAGCATGGCCACACACTCATCCAGTGCATAGATGACCTTCTGTTGGCTGGACCAACTTAGGAGGATTGTATGGAAGGAACTCAACTCCTTCTCTCCACTTTGTGAAAGGCAGGGTATAAGGTTTGCTGAAAGAAATCTCAGATTTGCCAGGATACTGTCAAATACTTTGGGTTTCACCTGTCACAAGGACAATGCAGACTGGGCTCTGAGAAGAAACAGTCTGTCTGTTCCATTATGGCCCTGAAGACCCATGGACAGATTAGAGAATTTCTAGGGGCTGCAGATTTCTTTCTTGATCTGGATCCCCAATTAGGTCTCTCCTGGCAAAATCCCTTTATGAAACCACAAAAGGGGAAGAATGGGAACCCATGGTAGGGGTAGAGGAGCAAGAAAAACCCTTTAAAAAGATTAAGAGGGCACTCGTAAATGCCCCTGCTCTGGATTTGCCAGATGTGATGAGACTGGGGACAGTTCTAAGAGTCTTGACCCAGCTGATAGGTTCCTGGAACTGCCTGGTGGCCTATTTACCAAAGCAACTTGATGCAGTTTCCTGAGGCTGGCTACCCTGCCTGCACACCCTGGCAGCCACTGCCATCTTGGTGGCTGAAGCAGCCAAACTTACTTTGGGACAAGAACACACAGTCCGAGTTCCTCACTCTGTTTTGACTCTTATGGAATATAAAGGCAATTATTGGCTGACAAACTCCCAAATGGTCAGATATCAAAGCATGTTATGTGAAAACCCATGTATCCAACTAGAGATTGTTAAGACTCTAACCCTGGCTACCCTATTGACGACTGATTCAGGACTCCTGGAGCATGACTGATTAGAGGCTTTGGAAGAGGTATACTCCAGCCAGCCGCACTTGACCGATCAGCTTATCAGTCATCTTGATGTTAAATATTTCACAGATAGCAATAGCTTTGTCCAGGATGGCACGTATTTTGCCAGATATGCAGTGGTGACTCTGGACACTGTCACTGAATCATGTCCACTGCCAGTTGGGACCTCTGCACAAAAAGCTGAGCTCTACTCTCACGTGGGCACTCCATTTTATTGCAGGAGAGTGGATAAACATCTAAGACTCTAAATATGCCTTTACTACCATTCATGTCCATGGAGCCCTATATAAAGAAAGGGAGCTTATTAACTCAGGAGGAAAAAATGCTAAGTATGGACAAAAAATTCTGGAATTGCTAGAAGCTGTATGGGCCCCTAAGCAAGTAGCAGTCATGCACTGCCAAGGGCACCAGAAGGGGGAGACAACAGCTGTTTGGGGAAACTGAAAAGCTGATAAGGAAGCCAAGTATGCAGCCCTCACAGGAGGATAAACCTCAGCCTCACTGACAGCTGCTTTGTTCCTATGCCCTTTATATGAATGGGACCCATGGTACACACCACAAGAACAGTGTTGGTTTAAGACCAAGGATGAAAATTTTCTATTGGGCGGATGGTGAAAATTTGCCAACAGTCATACTGCAATCCAGAGTTGCTGGCTACTACATTTGTCAAGCAGTTTCATAAAAGAATTCACTCAGAGTGAACAGGTTTTGAGACCATCTTGGCCCAGCATTTTTATGTCCCCAAGCTCTCCAGGATAAGACAGTATGTGAAAAGTGCAGTCTGTGTGCCAAAAACAATCCCCAACAAGGGCCAAGAGTGTCACCCCAAGTGCAAAGTGTTGGAGGAACTCCTTTTGAAAACCTGATTGTGGACTTTACTGAGATGCCATGTGGCAGAGGATGTAAATATTTGGTGGTGTTTGTCTGCACCTCCTCAGGATGGGTGGAAGCCTTCCCTACTCAGACTGAGAAAGCCTGGGAAGTGGCCAGGTGCCTATTAAATAAATAGTTCAGAATACCTATGTCTGTTGGATTGGACAATGGGCTGGCCTTCGTGGCTGAGGTGGTATAGTTGGTAGCTAAGGACTTAGGAATAACTTGGAAACTGCACATGGCCTACCACCCCCAGAGTTCAGGGAAAGTAGAACTTATGAACAGGACTCTAAAACTGCATTTGCGAACATTATACCGGGACATCCACCTACAATGGGATCAGTTACTATCCAGAGCCTTCATCAGGATTAGGTCTAGCCCCACCAAGAGGACAGGTCTCTCCCCTTTCGAAATTCTTTATGGGAACCAACCCCCTTTAGTCAAGGGCCTGTGAGGGGACCTTAAGGAAACAGGTGGCCTCATCTTGAGATAGCAGATGTAGGCCCTGGGGTTGACTCTCAAAAATCAATGAGAGAGACTCCACGTTAGCCTGTCAACTTCCACACACACACTTATAAACCAGGGATGTTGTCTGGGTAAAGGAATGGAATATTCACCTGCTAAAGCCCCACTGAGGGGGCCCTTCCGTTGTTATTTTATCCACCCCCACCACAGTTAAGGTAGCAGAGATTGTTCCCTGGATCCACTGCAGCTAAGTGAAGCCAGCTTCCCTCAGGTGGGAGTGCATCCTTGAACCAGCCTCACAGTGCAATATCACCCTCTGGAATGCCAGCACCCTTCCCCAGCAGGACCCTGCTTCCCAGGAGACAAATGGAGACCATGAACTACCAGACATCAGACCTTCTCTAGTCACTCCGGAAGCTGACTAGTCTACGCACAGTGGAAGCTTGAGGAGTTGCCCATCTCACCTTTGAGCATGAGTCCCTTCTGTGTTTTCTTCTTGATAATCTTGGTCAGCTCTCTACCTGGGGATCCCCAGACCTTGGACTGTGACTCATGTATGTGCACTACCCAAGTGGGAACAATTACCAAAACTCTGGTTTTCCATACTTATTATTCTTGTTCAGACACAGTTGCTGGGTCATGCACACACAACCATACCACCTGCTCAGTGTGCTGGGGCAAGACCAGAGAAGGGGTCACCTAGCCCCAGAGGTTAAAATGGCTAATGGAATAGTATGTGACCATCTATGGGGCAAGCTGTACCCCCATTTCTGTAACCCACTCTAAATGGCATATAAGGAAAAGCTCCCTTTGTTCTTGGGGCTCAGTCTTTGGATGCGATTCCACTGAGTTGCTGCTGGCCTATTTAATAAACTTTCTTCCTGAAAGTTTTGGTGCCCCATCTCTCTGTCTGAGCCTTCCTAAAACAGTAGTACAGACTGGTCCATATTTAGGTACCTAACCTCCAAACATCTTTTAAGTTTAAATATTAGACAACATGAATATATCCAAACCAACATGGTAGGGTTTACCTTCTTAGTGATATGCTTACCCCAGTATTAAATTTAATGGTAGCAACTTCATTCAAACTGGAGAAACTTGGTCTCTCATTATTTTTGGGCATATTCATATTCTGCTCCTTGTCTTGTGCTATGTTTTGGCCCTTCAAGCAATGATGCTGGATAGCCAGACTATTCCTTTGGGAAGATGCCAGCTTATTAACTCTATATACACACACACACACATACATGAAAAGAGCACAAAGCATTTCATTTTAATCACAGCCTCAATCCAACTTTATTTCAAGAATATTGAACAAGGTTCCAAACCTAGCAGACTCCTTGGTCTTTCTCATGAATTGGAACATTGTCCAAAAGCAGTATAATAAAGGTAGTTCCTAATAAACCCACCAGAGAACTGATGCACTCTGAGGCAATATGAAAAAAACAATTATTACAATACATTGTGTGTTTCATTATGCTGAACTTAAGTTAAATGAGTCATCTTTAGTAAAAAGAGTATATTTTGGAAGTGAATAGTTTCTTATTTTATAAAATAAGGACATTGGATAGTAGGTTTTAAAAAAAAATAGTTCTTATGGACTGGGGCATGGCTTAAGTGGTAGAGCACCAGCCTAGCATAAGGTCCTGAGTTCAAACCCCAGTGACACCACACACACAAAAAGTTCTTGTCTTTCTCCACATTGCCTATGTCTGAAGCTGGGTCTTTGTGTGTCCATACTTGAGATGAATGTAGAGATATAAACAAGTAATTATAATCTGAGGAGAGAAATGCTAAGTAGAATAATAGAAGAAAAATGATATTGCAGAATATAAAGAGATAGAAAAGATTAATTCCACTAATAGAAATGGTAAAACACTTGGCAGGATAAATATTATTTGAAATGGTGTACTGTTTTTTTCTAAACCACAGAGCTATAAAAGTCCTTTCAATATCCTCCTGCTAGTATTTGTTTGGAATAGAACATTAATAACAAGTAAATCCTTTAAAATCATGTATCATGAATTTGATTTGTGCCCCTGCATCATGTTTCTTGTTTGATAACAAAAAGATTGAGGACTATTAAGCTTTAAAATATAATTATTAAATATTTTTCTCTATCATGTTTTCATATATATATTACATAAATCATTGTTAATAAATTTCATTAGGAAAAGTTTAGAAAATATAAATAGCAAAAAGTAAAAATATCTCTAGTATCTTGTGTTAACCCTGATAAAATATTTTTCAGAAACATGCATATACACATTTTTTTGGTGGTGCTGGGAGTTGACCTCAGGGCCTTGTGCTTGCTAGGTAGTATTCTACCACTTGAACCATGTCCCCAGCCCCATGTATACACTCTTAAAACTGCCATTTGAATTTTATAGAGTCAATTTACACAATACTTAACGATAGTTATATATTTTGAAAAAGCCCTTGTTAGGTGATATTGTTAGTGTGTGAACATTATAGAATGTGCCTGTGCAAATCTAGATGGTAGATTCTACTACACACCAAGGTTATATGGTATAGCCACTAGAGTATATGCAGTATGTTGACTGAAACACTTATGTGGAACATGACTAAAGGACTAATGTGATTATGATATATTTGGGTATAAATATTACATCTTACTATTTATTTTCTATTCATGCTCTTCTATGATCTCTCTCTCTGTCTCTCTCTTTTTCTTACCCCCCTCATTCCACCCTTTTCTTTGTTCCTCCCTCCTTTTTCTTAACCTTGCTTTGGAATTACCAAGTGTTATTATTAAAATTTTCTTTGTATTAGCTTGTGAGTTATAGATTCAAGTTTGTATTTTAGTTTCCTTATATAGCCAATATTGCTTCAGATTACCCGTTTTGGAGGAAGTGGCCAATGTTGCTAAGAGCAGAAATAAATTATATCCTCTGAATTTTTATTTTCTTGCCATGGTAGCTCTCCACTTCTATGATCTAAAACACAATTTCTCTTTTCTTGGCAAAATCAACCATATATTACAAAAAATAAATGGAAAAATACTAATCACTTACCAATTCAATACTGATACAATTTAGAGTATATATTTTGGTCAAGTTTTTTTTTCTCTAATGTTATGAATATTTGCATATATTTTCCACTAATGAGGGATTAGTATATGATTTGAGGCACCCAAACTCTTCCTATCATAGGCATATCTTCCTATCATATCTTGTGTGTGTGTGTGTGTGTGTGTGTGTGTGTGTGTGTGTGTGTGTGTGTGTGTGTGGTGGGAATGGGGTTTGTACTCAGGGCTTCACACTTGCAAAGCAGGTGCTCTACAACTCCAGCCCACTTTGCTCTGGTTATTTTGGAGATGAAGGTTTCTTGAACTGTTTGCCTAGCTAGCCTTGAACAGCAATCATCCCAATCTCAGCCTCCCAAGTAGCTAGGATTATAGACTTCGGCCACTGGTGCCCAGTGGCATTAACCTTTTATTCTTTTCTAAGAAGATCATTCTTATTTTCTTGAACACAGCATGAGACATAAATAAAGAACATAAAGACACTAAAAATACATCCCTTACATAACTTCTTTTCAAAATGTTTGTTGCTAGTATGTAGAAATGCAGCTTATTCTGTTGTTGAGTTATATCTTGCTACATTGCCAAATTCATTAATTAGTATGAACAGTTTTTTTTGGTGGAATCATTAGGATTTTTACATACAAGAACATATCCTAGTGCCATATTAAATAGAAGTGGTGAAAATGGGCATGCTTGTTATGGATTTTCAAAATGTCTTTCAACCTTTCACCATGATTACTATGGGTTTTTCATATATGGCTTTTATTATGTTGGGGTATTTTTCTTTTATTCCTAGTTTTTTGAGTCTTCATGATTTAGTCTTCATTGGTTTTATGATTCTAGGGATTAGTCTTTTTCATCTAAGTTATCTGATTTGTTGGAATACAATTATTCTTAATATTCTCATAATCATTTTTATATTTGTAGAATTTGCAGTAATATGTGTAATTTCATTTTTGATTTTAGTAAGTTCAGATTTTCTCTTAGCTAAAGATTTGTCAATTTTTTCAGCCTCTTTAAAGCACAAACTTTGAGTTTCATTGATTTTTCTCTATTGTTTTTCTATTCTCTTTTTCATTGATCTCTGAGGTTATCTATTGTTGATTTGAGATTTTCTTTACTATTTATTTATTTGCAGTACTGGGGGTTAAACTCAAGGCCTTGTGCTTATTAGGAAGGTGCTCCTATCACTTGAGCCTTTTTTCCCTCTGGTTATTTTTGAGGTAGGATCTTGCTTTATACATATGGGTCAGACTTGATCATGATCCTCCTATTTACACTTCCTATTAATTTGGGATGACAAGTCTTCATCAACACATCCAGCTTTTATTGATTGAAACAGCTGACCTCAAACCAAGATCCTCCTGGTTTCTGCCTCCTGAGTAGCAAGGATTATAGATGTAAGCCACTGTGTATGGCTAGCAGTCTTTTTAAATGTAAGCATATAACTAAAAAGTTTCTCCTTTGATTTTCCGAGATGGTGGATTGCTGACAGGCACCATTTTCTCATGTCTCCTTAAGCCAGAAATAAAACCTCAGGCAATGTGGCTGCAAGGAGAGATGTAAGCTAAAACAGCACACAAGTATAAGGACAGACAATAGCTAGAAAAATCAAGAAATACTGATCTCTAACTAAACCCCTAAAAAGCAAATCCACCACCAGCATAGAACTGCTCTATCTGGTGCCTCTCTCAGCCTGTTTTTTTTTTTTTCTTCCTATTTTAATTGCCTCCAGCAAGAGGCATGTGCATGGGCTGCCCTGTGAACAAAACTGCATGGAAGGCTGAAAGCAGGTCAACAAGCCTTACCTGGACTACAGATGCCAACTATCATCTGCATCCCACCACTTGGGGTAAAAAGGCCAGCACGGAAATGAACAGATTTATTCCTAGGGCTGTTGCATAGGCTGGCCCTATGGGTAGATGAAAATACATCTGACAACCTTGGGAAAACTTTTGGCTATGTGGGTTGATTAAAGGACCCCACACTGAGACTGGGAATGGTGATGGGAGTGAAGCTGCATGAACTTGACTATAATCAGTGTTACCACTGTGGACTACCACCCAGCCAAGTCTAGCATGTGGACAGAAATAATCTGATCTCCAAGAAAACTTTCGGCTAAGCAGGCTGATTAAAGGCACCAACACATGGCTCTGGACTGGCAGAGGTGGAGTGAAGCAGATCAGTCCAGGGTCTCTATCCAAAAGAAAGGCATGGAATCCAGCAGGCTAGCAGGTTAGAACTTAACATCAAAGCATAAAGGCCAACTAGCTAGAGCCTTTAACCCACTGCCCAACCCAGCAATGTATGTATATACACAAGTGAAAGGAGCTTTTCATGTTCCCTCTCCAAATGAAACATTAAACTGGATACCTAGATAGAAAAGGGGGAAAAAGCTCATTGTGGACAAGCCAGAGCAGCCACTGGAGTCCCTTAGTAGGACAAAGCACGGGCTTTGAGAGCAGCAGAGTGCTTCCTGACTGATCAGCTGTGCTTGGGGATACCACCATCCATTCTGAACTATTGCCCCACATGCCTGGAACTGTCCCATTTTATCTCACCACTTCCCTAATCCAGAGCCTTCCTCCCAGTCTATACCTGGTCAATCCAGGGCCTTTGAGGGACACATGAGTAAATACAATAGGAGAACTGCAGACAGAAACCTGAGGTCCAGAGACCGGAGGGGAGCATGCATTGTACTGCTAGAGCTCAGTAGACATTCAGTCTTCTCAAAAAGGAAGAAATACTGACTTTTAAAAATTAAAATATTTTTAATTTATCTTTTTTCTTCTTACATTTTTCACATTTCCTTTTCACTTTTCCTACCTCTAGAACAGTTTATGAACTACTCTACTTGTATTTTATTCCAGCTCCTTTTATTATTACTGATGTTTCTATCCTTTTGCAATCCTTGATAATAGTATCCTTCTCCACAACAGTGGAATTATATTTCTGCACACTGGTGGTTTTGATTACCTGCAGTCCTCATATTTCACTCACCTTCTCCCCCATCTTTCTTATTTCTTATTTCTTCCCTCACCCCCCCCTTATTTTTACAACCTATTCAAACAAGTTTATTTTCTGTACCAAAGAGTACTTTACTATACCATATAAGAGTGCAAGTCCCATTCATATGTAATGTGATTGGTTGTATAGATAATGTTGCCAATGGTATCT